TACTTTCTAAAAGATCTTATTTATATACTGCAATTTTCAACTCAGTCTAAATCAGTGAAGATTTACAATATGATTATATCTCAATAACTTCAGTTTTGATTCTCATGACTCAGTGAAGAAAATACTGATCTTAGCTCTCATATACTGATAGATCAGAACTCAATTCAAATGCTGTATTTATATGAATATTAAGTTAAGTAAGAACTTGAGTAATTAAGATATATTTCATCTTATTCTTCATTGTGATTATTTTGAAGAGACTAAATGATGAATTCAAGAATAATAATCTTTGTACAGTCTGCAGAGTATAGTGAACAGCTTCTTGAACTTTCAGAACTATTATATAAGATCTCATATCTGAATGTTAGTAATTATATCTGACAAAATGCACTCTCTCAATGTGAGATATATCATTTAACTCTGATTTGTAAAAGCATTTGAGATTCTCACACTGATACTGAATAAAATCAGAAGAAAAAATAGGTTTATTTGATGAATATTATATGAAGTCATTAGAATAATATTTAACTGAGCTTTCTCAACTGTGAGATTACTATAACTCTGTGAGATTGTTGACAATTTCTGTCATTTCTATATGCATTTGTTGCTGAAAAGTTGGGGATTTGAGAAGAGCAGATATTAAAAGAATCAGATTTTAAAAGTAGAGTGATCTCATGAAGAATTCAGTGAGATTTTTCTGAGTAGAACTCAGAGTTAGTATTTGCATTGATAATACTATTGAAATTGAGGTTTTCTTAACTGATAAAATCAGAAATTGTGCTCTGCATTGCTTTTTCAGAGTTAAAAGATCTTCTGAGAGCAGACTTATCAGTGATGTATTCTTTAATAAACACAGAATTTGTATTAATAATTTGTAGTTTTTTCAGGAAATATCTGACTCTTCAGTTCAGAGTCTCATTGTCAGAACAAATGAATTCATTTCAAAGTTACTGTGTTTATGAGATATATCAATTACTGAATCAGAATCAATAAATTAATCAGTAATAGTAACAGTAATTGTATCAGCAGCTAATATTTTAATATCATCAATGACTGACTCATCAGAATTCTCTTAATTATCATTTTCAGAAATATTCTTCTCAGCAGCTGCTTTCAAAAGTCACTTAATATACTCAATATTATCAGCAGCATCCTCATTATATGACTCTGTCTTTAGAAAATGTTAGTTTTTATAACAATAGAGATATCAAAAGTGATAAACTTACTGAAAATAGCAATACTTCTTCATCAGAAGCATTATTATTGAAATCACTTTCAGTGAAATCTTTATTTACAGTTTCTGAGAAAAGAGAGCTCTGAGATTGAAATTTCAATTGATCATTCCTGAATTCTTGTCTAGAGACAGATAGTAGATAGTGTTTCAGATTTTAATTAAACAGATATGACATTTTGCTTTCTGATATGATTTGTAGAAAAAAGTTGTATAGTTGAAAAGATATAAATGAAGTAGATGAGTGATCTTGATAAAATAAAGAGATGAGATTGAATTATTAAAAAGAGATATATTAATAAGAGTCACAATTAGTGATAATCTATATTAATTTAATATTAGCAATCAAACTACTTTCTTTGTTTCAAAATTATATTTCTGTAATTTGTTAAAATTCATATTATAAATTTATCAGAGTTTTATCAAGATTCTGAAAATGAATATTATTATGAATTCTGCTCTACTAGATCTCTTCAAACTCTCTCATCTGATAGATTTAATAAGACAAATCACTGATTTCAAAAGAAATCTGATATTAATATATCTGAATATAGAATGAACATAATGATAGTAATAATAAATATCAGTCAGATAAAAAGAAATCAAACTCATCACTGATATTAAACAGTCTGTTAAAAAGGCATTGCCAAACCTGGCATTCAGATGCAGAAATGTATAAGAAGGAAATTTAGCTGACAGAGCAGTATCTGCATCTGAAGATAAAATGAATATATTTTCTTTCTTTTAATAAAGATAATTTGAATTGAACAGTTGTAAGTATGATAAAAATAAAGAATAAAACATTATACATCTTTTCATTCAGCAGAATAATGATGCTGAATATAATTAAAACATGAAAGTTCTGAACTCTCAAAGAAATGAAGATAAGTAGTATTAGATTTTAACAAATATATTAACTTTTCAGTGAGATATTAAAATTTTTTTAATCAACTTAGCTAATTATTTATTAATATAGAATTATATTCAATGAAAGAAGATAAAGAGCAGAGAAAGTTAAGCAGTAATCAGATTGTATAACTATTATAAAGAATTAATTATCTTTGAATACTTCTGTAATTCATTTATCACTGAAAAGTTCTTTCTGATTTTTTACTGAGCATGAGAAATCATTGACTTTGATCAATTCTCTGAGTGAGAATAATAATATATGAAATGTAAGTTGAATATTCATTAGTTAAAGATATTGAATTGAAAACTTTGAATGGAAAAACTAGAAACTGATTCTGAAAAATAGAGATATATATTAATCTTGTAACTCAGGTTAAAATATTTAATAATACTGATATAAATGAAAATTTCACTGCAGCTATGCTGCAATGATAAAATATTCTAACATTCTGAAATCTGATAAGTGATATTTCTGAATATCAGTAAATTATCAGAGATAACTTTACTGAGATAATTCAGAATACTCTGATAGTAAAAAAGAGACATCTGATGAAAGATATGTGAGAGAAGATATGAAAAAAAATTAAATTTTCAGAGATACTTCTGATGAAAGACAGATCAGTGATGTAGAGATTTTCAACACAATCTATTTATATTTCAATATATTTAGTTTTCTATGAGTTTTATATATAAATTAGTTAATATATACTTTAATACATATAATTAAAATATACCTGTCTTGATATTCACTGAAGAAAGTTATCATATTCTCTATCTTATAATTTGTATAGTTATGACTGTGAAGAATTCATTGATTTCACTGTATCAGAAAATCTTGAATTCTGTAGATATATTTCTAACAGTGCATTGAATACTTGTTTCTAGTTAATAGAAATGATTTTGTATTTAAAATAGCTGTAATTCAATCAGTGATAGCCTGTATAAAAAGTATTAAGATATGAATGAAATCTGTCAGATATGTTAATTATATTTAGAAGTGAAATATAAAAGCATTTGTATTTATTACATGATAATCTGCAAAGATGAATTAATAATATATATAAAAACTTACATTTTTCTTTTTCTTCTTTTCTTCTTTCTTCTTCTTATAATAATAATACACTGTAAAGATTATTCTCAGCTCATTCAGTTCACTCTGCTCTTCTTTATTTCTCAGCTCAGTTAGTATTCTGTCAGTTGTAATAGAAAGCTTTTAATCAGAAAAATTCTAATCAAGATATCTTATCTATGTAGTATATCAAGAATATCAGTAATTTATTACATCAGTATCAATCATAGTAATAATAATAACAGTAGCAGTATCAATCACAGTAATAATAACAGCAGCAGTATTAATCACAGTAATAATAATAACAGCAGCAGCACTAAAATAATAAGTAATATTCTCAAGTGTATCTGTACTGTCACTGCAAAGACTTAAGAGAAGAAAGTAAGCAGCTGTCTGAATACTCTGATAAAGCAGTCTGATAAATGAATAATGTATAAGTACTGTATTAAGTATATTTTTCTCTATCATTTGAATGCTGCTTATAATAAGATGAAGAGAAGCTCAAAGTCTTATATAAATTATAACTATAAGAAAAAGAAATGTATAATTATTTCTGAAGAATTAAAAGAATAAGTTAATAATCTGATCTGAATTCATGACTTTTATCTTTCTATATCAGATGATTTTAAGAAAATAATAAAGAAGATTATATTGAAATCAGTGAAGAATCTTTTAAAATAAATTAAGAAAGTTAAAACTCACTAACAGAAAGTAAAAACTTAATATATAAAGAGTATTACTATTGCTCTGAAAGCTCTGAATCTTATTATCAGTGCTGCTGAAAAAGTTAAAATCAAGATTAAGAAGATCAAGTTGAATATTAAAAGAATGAAATTAGAAATTGAAAAGAAAAAAGTTACTACAGAAAAGAAGAAAATCATGATTAAAAAGATAAAACTTAATATTAAAACTATTAAGCTTAAAGTATATTATAAGCTTTTGAGAATGATAGTTAGTTATATTAAAGAATAAAAATTGATGATAAAGAATTTTATAAATTTAATAAATAATATCAATACTGAAGCTAGCTATATTATTATTAAGATGTATAAAATAATAAAGTATATTCAGAGACTCATAGATTATCTTGATAAGAATTCAGTTATAGTCAGTGATAGTAGTAGCAGTGATGAGAAATTTAATAATAGTAATAATTATCTTTTTACTCTTCTTACTAATATCTCTACTACTGTTATTAATTCTTTTCTCTCTTTCTTCTCTGATCTTCTGACTCTGATTGATTCTCTGACTATAAACAGCACTGAAACTCTCAACATTCTTGATAAAAAAGTAAGTTAGAATCAGTGAAATGATTCTCAGATTTATACAGAAGTTAATAATAATATAGATGAATAAATACATAACTTCTAATTTCTCTGAAATTCTCTCTTTTAAATAGTGAATAATCATTGATACTGACTCTTCACAAACTTCAATATTAATTTACAAGTTTTCTGAAATAAATGTTGATGTGAATATGACAGAAAATAATAATAATAATATAGAGATGATTCAGAGAATTCAGAAGAAATTACAGAGAAATATGACAGATTTTCAATAGAGAATAATTTCAGTGAATGAGACATTTTTTAGAATTAGTGATTATATAGATAGAAATCAGTGACATTGTTAATATGATAATAATTTTATTCTGTTCATAACTCATTTACAGTGATTCCACAGCTAATCCACCATTATATTATATTTTACAGTTCGGCGACGGTGTCGGCGACTGGCACGGCGGAACAACCATAACCCGGTCGTATAATAAGCCTACGTTTTTCCGGTAAGGAGATCATTGGTCATATCGAGATCACATGGCATATTTTATTGCCGGCTCGGCTCACCGCCTTGAATTCGCGGGGCTGAGAGTTGTGATTGACAATCTTCAACACTCAGATCGGTTCTATATTTTGGGGGACAGAAGACATATTTATAATATTATGTAAGTGCCCAAGGGCTTTTGCTATATCTTGGACAAAGCTAACATGATAATCAGTCGCTGAAAATGGCTCAAACAGACCACCTTAAGAAAAAACGACCTTCCGAGTCCGCGAAAAAAGAACTGGAATTAGTGGCGGAATGGATAGGCGGAAATGATATTCGATGGGAACACCTAGGAGGAGCGTTATACGAGTGTATCGATGCGATGTTGGATGACAAACTGAGTCGATATGTTGAAAAATTGGTGCGTTTGACTGCTTGATATGGCGATTCGTAGCTCACAGGATTGCGTTAAAAGGAAGAACCCGAAACTCGGCAGCGTGTTTTTCGAGTACCTGGATCCAAATATGCCCGTATACTCGCGTCTGGCGGAGTGGCTCATATACACCCTATCCGTGTACATGGGGAAGCTGCAACAGTTGACTCAATCCCCGTTCAAGTCGGAGAGTATATCACAATAAGAAAGGAAGTACGTGTTGAACTTGCGACGGATTTCTTGGTTATATCAAAGGGCAAGCCAAAGCAGGAAAGTGGCCACGATTCCGGGGATCAGGAATAGCCTGTTATCTCTGGGAAAGATATTCCGGCAAATTTTGCCCATCAACATCAAAGGGCGGCAGCACCCATTCATCACTATCAACATCAAACGGCGGCAGCACCCATTCATCACTATCAACATCAAACGGCGGCAGCACCCATTCATCACTATCAACATCATAATAGGTTGGCAGCGGATCCCCATTATTGATATCTAAGGACGGCAGTGAATGTGTATCATCGACGTCCGCCGCTGGAAGGGCTTCAATTTGTGGTAGGCACTGGTCCACCCCATCTGACTGGAAAGTCTCTGTTCCATTCATGTCTTGTCTGGCTGTAACTAGAGTCAAATTAGTCAACAATCTTAACACTTATTTATCATCCGTACCTTTGTTTTGTTCAATTTCCCCAAAACTTGTTACACTAGACAGCAGGCTAAAATCGAGTTGTGACGTCCTTATCTCCTCGATGTTGAACGGTAGTGGATATGAAATATCGCCGTCAGCGCGATTCTGCGCAATATCTTGGTGGCCATCAGCCACTACGTTGGAACCTATCAATCCAATTAGCCGCGAGCAAATGGTGGAGACAGACACGTGCAAGCCTCAATGTCGAAGCAATGATTGCAGCGTACCATTATGTGCGTTTTCAGCTGCGATCGGTAAAGCCTCTGTGATAGTTCTCGAATCCGCCATACGATTGGGTGATGGAACAGGCGAGGACGTAAAGCCAGCACCAGCAGGAGGTGGAGGAGGGGATCGGTGCATTGTATCAATATTCTGTTGTTTTGCGCTGTCGTGAGTCGAAGCTACCGAAGTTGCTGCTGCCACAAGAACTTGCATTGACATGTGGTACACGAAGGCATCAGCTCGAGAACTCCCATCACTGGGTACATTTTGGCACTCATTAGTCGCGTGGGATTGATGTTCCTTGGAAATCTTTGCTTGCAAGCCGGGGCATGGCCGTTTTGCACTGGATGTGCGATCGAGACGGCGTCGTTTTAGTCCACTCATTTCATCATCTCGTAAAACAATCTTTCCTGCCGTAAGGTCTTCTTTGTTCAAGTAGCGAAACAACGCGCTCATGAGTCTTCCCCGGCCCCGCGAAAGCTCCTCATAGGACCATCCAATTTTCAGAAGGCCGTCGATTATAAGTTTCGCGCCTTCAAGGTCACGGTTTTGGAAGCTCCTCTTCAGAAAGGGAAACATTTTATCTCGAAAATCAACTATGCATTTAGGGTCGCCCGCTTTCAGAGATCTCTCCCACCTACCTAACTAATTAGCGAATGTATACATGGTTACCAGCATGAACTCACGTTGTTGCTGTGCCATTCAGAAATAGCACATTGCCCGGGCCGGCAATTTCGAGTAGTTTAAGATAATGACGACTTCGACCTAGGTCAAATTTGACGGTGTCGATGCTCCTTTTCACTCCGTGCGCATATTGACGTAGGGCGATAGTTGCTTTCCCTATACCTTGTTCTAATTCAAAATCTTCAACTTGAAACTGTCTCTCCTCAATAAGATGATGCCTATAAAGAAGGATGAGACGCCTCGCAGCAGTATTTGTAGCCTCGCGTTGCTCAATTCTTTCCGCACCCTCTTCAAGCCGACAATTTGGTTCGGTGTTAGGTTTATCCGGGAAGATTTCATCATTGCTTCCCCAGAAACAGTCAGTAAAGCTTGTATCGTGTACAGGCTCGAGTTTAACAAATTGTGTTGAGGCATCAACGAGAAGGTTAAGGTGATTTTTATTCTTAATTCCCTTCTCCTTTGTGAAATATTCACGGGCAATATGTTCCAGCTCATTTCGGGAAAGTCGTCGAAAGGTCTCTGAGCTGAAAGGAGGCTGTGGTTTAGGCAAGGAAGATTGGGGTGAAGAACGCGAAGGGCCCTGTAGAGAAGACCGCGGCGGAAGAAGCGAAGGAATTCCTGGAGAAAGCGGAGGCTGCAGAGAAGGAAGCAGACAAGCTAGTCGAGAAGGCTGTGAGGTAGGAAGAGACTGACACACTTCAGTCAGGTGCTGGAGCAGTTTCAAAGAATCGTTTAACGGCCCCTGAACAAAGAAGGCTTCGAAGAGCTGCAATAATGGCTATTCTCTATTAGCTTATTCCTAAGGAATAGTTTACTTATTATTACCTCTGATTGCAGAATATCTGAAGGATTCATAAGACACACAGCATGATCAAGCGAAGGCATTTTGACGCATTGTATAGTGAATGAAGTTGGAACCAAGAAGAAAATCAGTTTCTCTGGGGCAAAAAGTAGCAGTGAATGTGGGTGGTCTGCTGGTTCGGTTTGGAATAGCCTGAATAAGATGTGCTGCAAGGGAGATGGTTTCTCAGCAATGTGCAACCCTAGAGGCTAGGAGCACTCAAAGCTAATTTAGGAATAGTGATCTTTCCGATAGCACCTGCTATCGGAAAGATTTACTTGCAGTTAGCGAAGGAGGCCAACGGAAATGCGCTAGCGATGTGAGGTTTTCTCTTCAAAGACCAGCCGCACCATGGCGGTCGTCCAGACTGTCGATCGAGATGATATCGAGCATCGTGGTCTTAATGCCGGCCCTTTGGGAAGAGCAGGGTCCGTGCCACTGATGTACTCTTCGCCTAAGCTATATGTGCCATCGCACCATTCTACCACTGCAAATGCGGGTTGTTACCTGTCCCGTTTGATCATCATAGCTCACAATCCAGCTGCGCTGTGATGGCATAGACTCCCGAAAAAGGTGATATTGAGCCCGAAAATGAGCCTTTTGGATTTCCTTTGCCCAATAAGGACTCACAGCGTGGTCGATGCTGCTGTTGAACTCATCACCTAGGCCATTGCAGGACATGGGGGATGGTGGCTGCCACAGCAAAGCTCAATGACTAGGAGTATGCAAAGTGCTGCCAGGGATGCCAGACCGTGTCGAGGGCACGAAGGCGAGTGTGATATACTTGCCCAGCTTGAGTCTGTGCCATTCCCATGCAAGAGGATCACTATCTTGATACTAATTGAGGTCAAACTTTGCGCCTCACTGGCTTTGGCTATAAGAGATGCTTCACCGCTCGCTCGTTGCCTTGTTCGAATACAGGCTGCTCATCCACGTTGGTTCGCACTCGGATTATTGCCTTGCATGCAAGGAGAAAACTTGCTCCCATCATTGCATGCGAAGTTCTTACTATTACCATTCAGGGTTGGAATACTTCAGATTGCCATTTAGGCTAGCTCACCTATCCTTACCCTGTCGCCTACATCCACCAAGAAAATCGTCCTGCTCTAGTCATGGGTTGTTTCCCTTTCGTTCTAAGCCTTGATGGGGCCATAGCGATGATAAAGAACGGAGTGTGTTTTGGCACCAGGGCCACATCGATGACCGGAGAAAGCTATACACAGGCGGACGAGGTTCGACGATAACTCACCCTGAATCAGTTTCTGCTGTGATGATCTAACAGTAATTTCCAGAAAATTAAGGCGGTGATCTCAATTTACTATCCAAACTTGCCGACCTTGAAAGAGGGGACATTTACTGTAATATGTGAGGGACGCGAGGGAAGGCCTTCTCGGCAGGAACTGCCATACAATGAATTGATTGCTCATAGGGATGGGATTACTGCTCTTCGATTGTACAAGCCAGATTGCACTGATGTTTTTTAGTAAGTAAACACAGTATTAGCCCTTCCTCCACATTCTTGTCTAATGCAATCGTAGAGTACCCGCTTTTGATGCCTTGTGATAGGATTTTGAATCGACATGTGGAGGATACACTGTGATTCGTGTCAGTGTTGTATATAATTTCTCCGTTCTCTTTTACAGTCTTCCATCTCTCAGTGTGCTTTTATTTGACTTTTTTGTTTCTCTACGACCCTGGCCAACCTGTCATTGCTTCCATACTTTTCAAAGATATCATGGACCAGGCATCAAGCCTCGTTGGTTCTCTTTTGAATATCATATTCCCTGGTTCCATATTTGTTGATATGTTCCGCAAAGCTCCCAACCTGGGCCTTCTGTCCCATATCCTGATTGTCGGATGTGCCTTTGTTTATGTCTGTATCTGGGTATATGATGGAATCTGGACATTCTGTGCTGTGGAGGTTGAGATTGAACCGCGCAGCGAGGAGCATGAACATCTAACCACCTTTCTGGAATCTTCGGTTACCGGATGTCTGTCTCGGAGGGTTAGAAGTGAGCAATGGAGTGGAGAGCACGCGCCTGTGAAGACAGGTGTGTGGGACTGGAAAATCATTGGAACATTTCGGGAATATCGATTTCGACCCAACAGAATTTGTCTATTCCTATTCGAGGGCTCAGTATTTCAGTTTCGGCGGATGGAAAGAAGCTTTGAGCTCCACTTTGAGGAGCGCTATAGTCTGAGAGTGTTAGGCTGGTCCTGCAAGTCAATTGAAGAACTGCTTGTGGAAGCCAGGTCACGTCACATATTCAAGACCAAATCCAAAATTACAATTTTCAGTCCAGGAGGCAGGCTTGTTCGTCAGTCTAGGATTTCATGGCAGTCTGTCAGAAAAATAAGTTGTCGGTCGCTCAAAAGTATCGCTCTGGAAAAGGAACAGAAGGAAGATGTTTGTGATGACATGCGCAGATTTCTCGAAACTAAGTCAGCATATCAGAAAATCGAAATACCATACCGTCGTGGTTATCTATTCAATGGCCCCCCTGGAACTGGCAAAACCAGTCTTGCGCAAGCTTTGGCGGGTAAATTTGGTCTGGATATTTACTTGTTGAGCTTGACAGGTCAAAACATGACCGATGATGAACTCCAGTGGCTTTGTAGCCAGCTACCAGACTACCCTTGTGTTCTTCTCATCGAGGATATTGACAGTGCTGGAATCAACCGCGAGAAAACACAAGCCATACAATGAGAGGACGGCACTAGGCAAAACAACCAGATATCACTCTCCGGGCTCTTGAACGCGATCGATGGTGTCTTATCATCTGATGGGAGAGTCTTGATTATGACCACAAACTGCAGGGATCAACTTGATGCAGCACTTATCCGTCCAGGGCGTGTGGACAAGGAAGTGGAATTTACACTGGCATCAGAGAAGCAAATAGAATCGATTTTCCTGCATTTGTACAACGAAAACCACATCAACCTTGTAGATATGGCTACTAAGTTCGCCAAGCTAGTTCCCGATTGCCAGTATAGCCCGGCGGACATCCAGAACTATCTTTTGAATAAGAACCCGAAGAGTGCGGTTACAGGAGCTCAAGAGCAATTCCCAACCAGAGAGTGAGCCTCATGATTGGATTACACTATTTTGTACTTTCTGTCTGTTGTTTGTTTGTAATTGTCTTTCTCCCCTCTCTCTTGTTTGTCAATCTTGTGGATCCACTACTGTTCCTCGCAAAAATATAGCACGGCGCCCTATTCACTTGGTAGAGGCAGCCATTACAATAGATTGCATATACTTCGCACCCATTCTTTTCTAACTGGTTGGATTATTAGCATTACCAGCGAGATATGTGGCCAAATTTGAGTTAATAGAGGCACTAAAGAAGCCTAGCCTCGCTGTTGCTGTCGCTATCCATAAACAAACACGATGTCTATAGTCCCAGGTCCTCAAAGTGTGGTATACATATAGAAGGAACCCAGCCCTCGCTTGTCAATCTTTCAACGCGATCCCCAGATGGTCTAGGGGTTTCCAGTATCTTTAAGGATCAGATCTATCTGGTAGGTCAGGCAATGATAATAAAACAGTCAATTGTCCTAGTCTTCTCTATTCTCTCTACCAACTCTCTACAGTTCCTCGTGCACCTTTCTAAGAAGATGTCGGGTTAGTTCATCTATGGCTTTCGTTCATTGATGGAGTATGCTAACTTTTCTTATCAGACCAATGCTCACTGAAACCGGAGCCGCCGGGGAACCCAAAAAAGCAGAAAAGTACGGATAATCTTCATAGCCAGGTGAAAAAAGCTCCGCCAATAGGCACGTCCCTGCTCAATCCTGTCCAAGCAACACCGAGTCGGGATAAATCAGCCCCTGAGGATGTCATCAGCGTCGAAAATAAGGCCCAAATGGGATCGAGCGGAGGGAGTATATTTAAGTCTCCGTGGGCCAGAGCTGCAGCCATCGCAGCAGTGAAATCTATTTTATGTTGTTGGGTTCCGGACGGAAGCTTGATACCCGAGGAGGATATAGGCGGTTGGTGTGATGGGTTCTCAACTGCTGAAATAACAGGGCTTTCTGTTCTGAGATGGCAATTTGGCTTTGATAAAGCTGGGCAGGATGATTTCCGCTCATTTATGTCTTCCTTTCCAGATGATGGTGTTGAATGGCTTAGAGATGTTGGGAGAGAGAACGAATGTCGGCAGGACTGGAGTTTCGAGACATTCGAGGAATTTGAAAAGATGCTACGCGAGGCGAAGGTATGTATAAGCTGAGTGAAAGATGAATAATGGACTAATTAAAGATAAGATAAATATCAAGCAGCTGGCTTTTCAGCATCCTGGTTTTGCAGCTGCTTTTGCGGAAATGGCTGCTGAAAGTCACAAAAACACGAAAGTGGTGGACTCGGCTTTACAATTAGACTGATGAAAGCTGCGAAAATCACCAGAGCAACTGAGCGCGCTAGGAAAGCAACACCTCAGAAAAGCGCTCCACCGTGCAATGCAACTCTGCAAACGAGCCACCCGTCGTCCAAACCTTGTTTAGTATGTGTTGGCCGTTAACGTGACTCACCACCCAACGAACTTATTATTATTATTATTCTTCAATTATAGATGTATGCAGTCAGAGACTATGACATCTACCTGAGAACTTTTAGTTCTCAGGGTTTTTTCTATATCTATAAAGTCAACTATTATACATTTATCAATTTCAGATATATAAAATCAGAAAATTCCAGCTCAGAATACAAAAACTGTTTATAAATTATAGTATTTCAACATCTTCTAATACTGTGAAATTATTTAAAAATATCATGACAAAGAAAAAGAGAATATAGTCTTAAAAATAAATATATTAAATAGATAGATAGAAAGAAACAGAAAAGAAAGAGTATAGTAAAGAGAGACTATAATAAAATAAAATTATTAAAAGATAGTATATAGCTGTTTTAATAGACTATATTTAATTAATTTTTATCTCTTTATATTCAGATACTTCTGAATTCAGTCATTTTCTTATAGCTGCTTAAGTTTCTGATAGAAAGTCTATTAAGTATAAATATTTAATTTCTGTTTCAGTTGAAAATAAGAATCTTATATTTAATTAATTTAAATTATACTCCTTGTGATGAGCTGTGTTTGATTATTATATAGACTATTCTCTTACACTTTATAGATTCTGCTAAAAGCTTTGATTCTCAGTTATTCTCAATCATCAATTCTCAGCTGAAAAACTCATGAAATTTCTATTCTTTCATCTCAAAGCTTCACTGTATACACACTGTGTACATATATAAATATTCACTTTAATCACTGATTCTCATACTTTCTCTTTCTTTTCCTTCTTTAATATTTTTCACTTTATTATATAAGATCTATATATTATACTGATCTATTCAGGGTAGGTCTCTTACACTTGAAAAATGTTTATTATCTTCTTATTAGAAATGATTACTTACTGAGATATCTGAATATATATTAACATGTAAGAAATAGAGAAACAGTTAAATAGTTAAACAGATACTAAGTTCTTAGATAGAAGCTTACTTATCAGTCACTCTAACTCTGTAATAAGATCTTATAAAGAGAATATCAGTAAAAGATCTGAGAGTTCTGATACTACAGATGTATAAGATATTCATATAATTACACTTCTTCTAATTTCATAGATATTATATATTCAATGATTGATATAATCATGACTAATAATAGTATGAAAGAACTCTTGAATATGAGTATAGATACAGTGTTACAGTGACTCTAAGCAATGTTGAAACTATAACAATAATAAATAGCTGATATGTATACAACTCAATAATCAATATGAAGAGATTTAATAATTAACTTAATAAAGAACTCATGCAATTTCAATATCTATAGAATTAAATATAAAAGTACTGAAAGAATGTTTAGATACTTCTACATATTTTAATACTTCTGATCTCACTCTCTACTTATCATAGAGAATGAAAATACTCATGAAACTAAGTACAGATGAAGATGTCATTGATTCACTAATCAATCAAGATTAATATATCAATGAATAATTAAAGAATTGTGTGAAATAGAAGTTCTATTCATGAATAAAAGTATGTGAATCAGTGTTGTGAATATCTGATAATATTATCAAATATCTTAATATTCTGTTCTGAGATACTGCTATAGAACAGAAAGTATTAGATTAATTACAGAGTACTTAATAGAGAAATACTTCTCTTATAACATTCATTTCTGACTTTGATATTAAGATTCTAGAAGCAGGTGATCAATCTTGAGAGAATTAAATAAAGATTAGTATGCTTAAGAAGACATTAACTTTCAAACTCTTACAGACTCTTGTAAGTGTAGATAAAGACCAGACTTATAAAGGTTTCTGCACACAGCTTCAGATATTGAATGACTATCTTATCAAGCTCAAGAGTATACAGAACAGTGACAGAAGACATTACACCTCAGTAACTGATACACTTATGCTAAAGAACAGCAATGATACAGATACTATGAACTGAAAAGATTTAAATATCTATGCATAAGCAAGAGTTTTCACTATTTGAATAGACTTCTGAGTTTCTGAGATCACTTCTGAAGAAGTCACTGATCAATGTCAATATGAAGTGTATATTAACTGTAACTGATCAGAGCACATTGCTTTTAACTACTGATCAATCTATGTATCTTCACACTCAAGAGAAAGATCAGTGTCTTCTTATTAAAAGAATGAATCAGTGCCTGTCCATATCAATCACATTACATTAGAGGAAGATTTGAAAGATAACTATAAAAATGCTCTGATAAAACAGAGAAAAGATTAGCTTCTATTCAAATTTACAAATAGAAGCTTAAAGAGATTGAATGATAATAATTTGAAGAGACAATAGCAATGAATATGATTCTTATATCTACTGTGATTGATAATATGTATAATATGAAAGTCATGATAGACAGTGATCTATGTCACTATACAATAATAAAATCTTCAGTTGTAAGATATTATAATCTTCAGTGTATTCTCTTATCAAAATCTTAACTTCTCACAGAATTCAATGATTCAAAAGATGTTTGCACTTATTACATAATAAAACTAAACATAGATGTCAGAGAACATCAGTGTGAAGATGTCTATACACATAAAGTTAATAATCTTGATTATAATCTGATGTTAGAACTTGTCTGACTATCTGAACAAGGCATCTTGTTGAATACTTGAAACAGGAGTTTAATATTCTCTAATAATGATAGAATTTATGAAGATGATATTCATAAGACTATGAATCTGACACAGATCTCTGTCAACACTTATAAAATACTCTGAAAAAGAAGTTATTAAAATCACTGACAAAGTCACTGATGATAGAATTATATATCAATCTATTTCATCAGTCTGACTGATATTAAGAAAGCTTCAGAAAAGTTATCTCATACTACAATAATAAATCCTTATGTAAAAATCTCTTATATATTATGATACCTAGATATCTTCTGATAGATAATATTATAAATATACCTTCTTTATAAGACTCAGAAGTGAATCACAGTATCAAATTAGAAAAGAAGAATGATAAGAACTCTGAGCTGTAATGAGACTCTCTTTATAATATATCTCAAGATGAACTTCTTCTTCTTCAGAAGACACTCAATGATCTGTTAGATAAGAAATTCATACATATTAACAACTCTTTCACTACAGCTTCTATTCTCTTTATAAAGAAGTCAGATAAAGAACTTCAATTCTGTGTGAACTACTGAGATCTGAACAGATTAACAAAGAAAGATTGATATTTCTTATCTCTTATCAATAAAATCCTAGCATGAATCAGATGAGCTCAATGATTTACAAAGCTAGATATTATCACTGTATTTCATAAGATTCATATCACTGAAGAAGATGAATGACTTACAGTGTTCTGAACATATTATAGTCTCTTTGAATGAATAGTCACACTCTTTGAACTGACTAACACTCTCAGTATATTTCAGAAGTATATTAACTGAGCACTCTGAGATTTTCTTAATAAGTTTGTATTTACTTATCTACATGACATTCTCATCTTCACTGATGAATTCAGAAAAGAGTATCAAGAGTATATGTGAAGAATATTACAATAACTATAAGAAGCAGAACTATTAA